TTCATCAGCAGTTTCCCCGTTTATGCTTACATGGCATTTGTTAACCAGATGATGACACAGGGAGAGGTTAACGACGTCGACCATGGTGACCACCTCAGAGCACAAATCACTCAGCACACATGTATACATGCACTTATAGTCCCACGTACTCTTGCACAGAAGGACATCTCCCTTATAAGTAAGGTACATTCATCACTTCACACATACAAAAACCACATAAACACACAGAGACAGAACTTGCTTGTGCAGAAGATGGTCACAGATGACCACCCCATAGCATCCATCACTTTGCACATCGTTGCGCGTAAGTGGATTTGACTTTCCAAACGGAGAGATTTTCCCCTTTCCAGTGAAACGCATACCCTGTTGGCCAACTGGCCTTTTGACAGCTGGGAAAACACATCAAGCTGTGTGTGTCACCACCAGCCTACACACTGCCAAATGAGACTTGAAAAGCTGACAGAGGAGGTGTAGGTTCGTCTACTAAACAATTAGTGGCTGTTAAAAGTATTTAGAAGCACTACATGCAATTGATATATATGAATTAAGGAGTAAAGACAAAAGAAAAAAAGAAGTGTTCAATTATTTTGTAGTTTACTTTGTTTTACAGCTCAAACCATCATAGTTCCAGCTAAATCTTGCCCCTTTTTGTGTAAATGAATTGTACCTTGGACATTTTTTTCAGCTGTTGATTCTTGTTTTTTTTTTTGTTTTTTTTTTTTTTTAGTTAGTACTGTCCATTTAATCCTTTATTAATTTTATGCTCTAAGAAAAGATCGTTACAACATTTTTGTGTGTGAGAAAGTAGGCTAGAGTACTGTGCATACTCAAGTTCCAGAATTACACATGGCTGATTCTGTAAATTGGGTAAAAGCTTTAATTCTTAAGAACAAAATAAAGGGGAGACACTTAATCTATCAATGTGTAATACAGATCTGAAAAACAGGATAGTTCTTAAATGGCTTAAATGGCTTTTGTGGAGTTCTTCAAGGTTCAACACTGGGACCACTGTTGGTGTTTCTGTGCACAAACAGTATATGCATTTGTTAAAGTTTATACTGTTTGCAAATTCAATTCAATTCACTTTATTTATATAGAGCCAGTTCACAACAAAGTTGTCTCAGGGCACTTTACAGGAACATTCACATACATAGAAAAGCCATTTAGTAAAGTTCTCTATCTAAGGAAGCCAGCAGACAAGTTGAATCTTGGCTTTGTTGCAGTCTTCCATCCTGAGCAACCACAATAGCAACAGTGAAAAGGAAAAACTCCCTTTTAAAATGAAGAAACCTCCAGCAGAACCAGGCTCAGGACAAGCAGCCATCTGCTTTGACCGGCTGGTTGAGAGGACAGGAAGGAGAGACAGACGAACACAGAATGGAAGGTCCAGGTATAGGTCCAGGTGTCTCTTAAAGACAAAAACACATGTTAAGGATAGAAAAAAATAATTACAAATACAAAACAGGTTGAGCAGAGTAAGTAAAGACAGTAGCAGAGTGAAAAAATGTGGTCAGTTTGTCCTCCAGCAGTCTAAGCCTATAGCAACATAACTAAGGGACAGCTCAGGAAACCCAAACCAACCCTAACTATAGGATTTAACAAAAAGGAAAGTCTTAAGCCTAGTTTTAAAACTGGATAAAGTGTCAGCCTCACGGACAGAGATTGGAAGTTGGTTCCACAAGAGAGGAGCCTGATAACTGAAAGCTTTGCCTCCCATTCTGATTTTGGAATCTCTAGGAACCGTAAGTAAACCTGCAGCCTGAGAGTGAAGTGCTCTGTTAGGAAAATATGGAACAATAAGCTCTGTAGTATAAGATGGAGCCAGGTTGTTGAGAGCTTTGTAGGTTAGAAGTATGATTTTGAATTATATTCTGGATTTGACAGGGAGCCAATGGAGAGAAGCTAAAACTGGAGAGATATGATCTCTCCTACTAACTCTGGTTAAGACTCTAGCAGCAGCATTTTGGATCAACCAAAGATGTTTTAAGAAAGTATTTGGACACCCAGATAACAAACCATTACAATAGTCCAGTCTAGACGTGACAAATGAATGGACCAGTTTTTCTGCATCATTTTTAGATAAGATGTTTCTAATTTTAGTGATATGACGCAGGTGGACGAAGGCAGTTCTAGTAACATTTTTAATGTGGGGGATAAAAGACATGTCATGGTCAAAAATAACACCAAGATTTTTAACATTAGAGCTGGAGGACAGATTAATGCCATCCTAAACCTAAAACCTCAGTCTTGTCTGTGTTCAAAAGGAAAAAAAATAAGGGTCATCCAGGTTTTTATGTCTTTAAGACATGCTTGTGGTCTAAGTAGCTGATTGGATTCATTGGGTTTTATGAACAAATATAATTGTGTGTCATCAGCATAACAATGAAAATGCATCCCATGCTGTTTAATACTTTTACCTAATGGAAGGATAAGTAAAGAGTATTGTTCCAAGCACTGAGCCCTGAGGAATTCCATGACTGGCTTTGGTGTATGAAGAAGATTTATTATTTACTGTACATCTACAAACTGGAATGTATCAGATAAATATGATTTAAACCATTTTAGAACTGTTTATGTAATCCCAATATCATATTCAAGCTTCTGTAGTAAAATATTGTGATCAACTGTATCAAATGCAGCACTGAGGTCTAACAGGACCAGTATAGACACAAGTCCATTGTCTGAGGCCTTGAGAATATCATTAGTGACTTTTACTAGTGTTGTTTCTGTGCTATGATGAGCTCTAAACCCTGGCTGAAACTCTTCAAACAGATTATTTCTTTGTAGATGTTCACACAACTGACCTGCAACTATTTTCTCTATGACAAACTGATTTTGCTGTAGAGAGGAGAAGATTCAAGTTAAAGAGTTGGTTGAGTGCAAATTCATCAAAAAATCAAGTAAATCTTAGTTCATCATTTAATCTTTTAACAACCTCCGTAATTAAATTTGTACATATGATAAAATGGTGTCCGAAATCAAAATTTTCTTCATAATTATGGAAAGAATACATTATGTGATTTATAGTCAGTTGTATTAATTCTGTACAATATATCAAATTTTAAAGGTTAGAGTAATTATGTCATTTTTCATATTTAAAAAGCAATATGATGAAAAAGGTTAACATTGTATTTACTGTTGTTCCACAGTGTTGTTTGGCTTGTGTTTGCGCATTCTTGAGTAAATTTATTTAATTGGGTAACTTTTGAGTGTGTTTTATCTGTCTAATTTTTTGAGTCAGAATGTTTTTTTGTGTTTAATAATAATTGTTACAAGAATGGGTTGTAAGCTCAATCATCCAGGTAGATAACAACAAAAATGGTTAAATTGTGTCATATGGACCAGTTTCTTTAACAGATAGATCTGGATGGCAGGCCCTAGACTGAGGAAGTCCTTTGGATGGGGGATGAAACGTTTCTCATTTAAAGAAACTGGTCCAGACGACACGATTTAACCATTTTTGTAATTATTGTTACAGTTGTGATTTGTTTCCCTTCTACGTATTTGCTGTTGTCCTACAGTTTCTCCTTCTTGTCCTCTCAAACCCAGCCAGTCGAAGCAGATGACCGCTTGTCCTGAGCCTGGTTCTACTGGAGGTTTCTTCCTCATGAGAAAGTTTTTCCTTTCCACTGTCGCCTTCATACTTGCTCAAGATGAGAGTTCTGCGATGGAGTTAAACTCAAAGCATTCTGCTCCTCAGATAAATAATGTTAACTTATTATTATATATATGAATGTTTCTGTTCAGTGCCCTAAGATGACGTGTTTTGACTTGGTGCCGCTATATAGTAAATAAACTGAAGTGATTTGAATTAAACTGAATTGAAAAGAAATCATGCTTATGTTGATTTTTGCCGAAAGACAAAAAAAAAAAAAAGTTTATTGCATCTAAATTTGTATCCATTTTGAACTAAAATTTAATAATTTGATTAATAATTAATAATAATTAATAATTGTTTACTGTTGTTGTTGGTTTTTTTTTTGTTTTTTTGTTTTTAAGTAATTTGTTTGGCACTCTATTGAAGAAGTGTTTTGTGGGTCCTGGGAAAGGACTTGAAAAGTTATGTTGTGTTTTATGTGTGCTGGGAAAATTCATGTGGATAAAAAAAAATCACTCTCAAGGTGCTTTTTGTGAACATCAGCCTGAAAGTGTAAAGTTAAATAGTGAATGGGCAGCATGTACTCACTTAAATCAGTGTGATCCTCAACACCCTGTACTTTTAGCCTCAGGGGCAAACCAAATCCTCATTGTGGTTCTCAGATTTATCTGGCATTGCCTGGATCTGATTATTCACTCAATAAAATTATGTTTGCTTTCGTTTGAAGGAAGAATTTGTTGCTAATGTTGGGCACTTCTCCTGCCTCATAAAATAAATCAAACAGTTCTCTTTTATTCATGTGCACAATCATTCTGTGAAACAACATCTAACCTTTCAGGAATATGCCCCACTGGTACACACTGTACCTTCAGTGTGAGCCATGTTTCAGGAAACTTCTGCTCATCACCTTTTTCTCTCATGAATGTTTATGTTGTTAGTTGTGCCAGACAATCTGCCTCATTGAAAACAGGGCAAGTGTATTATTCTGATGTGAATATGTGTAATTTATAGCTGGCTGAGTGTAGCAGAGCTTACTTTTATTAAGTTTTAAAGCACATTTTTAATGCGTTCTGTCATATTTGTAAGCAGAAACTCTCACCTGTGTTTTACAGTGACAAAGGTAGGAGAATAGTGATTTAAAATGAATCTTTGTGGTGAATAACAATGATGGATGAGTCTATAAGACTAGTTTGTTCATTATTTCAAAGTCAGTGTCTTTTAAATCACAGGCTCTGATCTCTTCCCAACTTAACAGTTGTTTTTTGTGCAAGTTGAATGCTATGTTGGCAATTACCCAAAAGACGTCTCTAGTATTGAGTTATATCCAACCCTGAGCAGCAGTTTGTCTTAAATGTTAGAAATCCCACCAGGTACTTACTGTAAAATCTTCTTGTGTCTGCAGAAACCCTGTTGAGTTTTGTTGACGACATCCTATCTGGGGCCAGATCTCCATGTGTGATGTTAGGGGACGTCCCCAACCTGCTGTCCTCCTCCATCAGTCTGATCATCCGCTGCCTGGATCCTGACACCACCTTCATGTAAGTTTACTGCATATTTTAACTATTGGAAGTAAATCATCAATGATGCATGCAAATAACTATAGTACTACTTACAATTAGTTTAAAAATAACTGTTTTAAAATGTTTTTTTCAATTTTTTTATTTAATATTACCTTTTTTTGTTAAAATAAAATGTATTTGATGGACTACATATGTTTTACCATTAACTCTAAACAAATGCAGTCATGCATAAATCCTTTTTTTTAAACATACAGTTAGCAAAATTCAACATGAATTAGTTCTGATTAGCAAAAACTTGAGATTTAATCTGTTCAGTCATCTGAGTACAGTGCTAATATTTGTTGTGCACAATCAATCAAACTTGAGATACTTAGGAGCCATCCAAGAAACATGGTTATTTATGAAAGTTGTTCATAGTTTTCAGTCACTTCTCAGAGACAATTCATGTTCCCCAAAGCAGAATAAAAAAAATAAAAAAAAGTTCCAGAGTGAAAACAATGATGTCACAGCCCAAGCTCTGATTTAACCTCCATCTCAAGGCCATTGTCTTCTTCTTCTTGTGTTTATATTTTGTACCCAGTGTGCAGACTTTATGCACATGCTCCTTGCTTTGTTTCCTGTTTTTGATGTATTTTATTAGCGCTGTAACAGCTCTACATACAGGCCTGGTATGAAAGTGTTTTGAGCTGTGTAAAACACAACCCAAAGTGCCGGCGTTGTAGCTTGAAAAGCTTACAGTAATAGTAGCTCTAGTACAGGGGTCTGCAACCTTTACAATCAAACGAGCCATTTTTACGCCTTCGTTCACTACATTAAACATGTCCAGAGCTGCAACAACCTGCTACAACTGTGGTTATCAACTGGTGGCCCATGGGCCACTTTAGGTTTGCTAGTGGGGGCATTTGTGTCCAGTAGGGGTGCCATTATAAATCATGAAATATCTAATGGTTTTTAACATTTATTAAAGAAAAAGACCAGATTCTTGTAAATTTGTGGGGGGGGGGGGGGGGGGGGAAACAAACAGTTTTTACCTTTTTTTTTTATTATTAAAAAAAAAAAACGATGCAGACAGTTCTTCGTATAAAGAAATAAAAGTATCAAGTTAAAGTATGTTTTACTGTTTGTACTCGCTCCATTGTTCACATATTTGCAAAAGAAATGACAGGAAAACAGTTTGAACTAATCCTTTCGTTGTTGTTTGTACAACTAATACAATTTTATATGTTTTATGTCAGTTTTGGTCAAAGCTTGAAAGTGCCGCTGCAGAGGGACCAAAGAGCCACAGGTTGCAGACCCCTGCTCTAGTAGATATCTAGAAAAATAAATAAAGTATACTTGTACGTTTTTATAATACATATTATTTTGCCCATGGACTGCTGGGGGTAGGTAACAGCTCTCTGTAACAGGAAAAGTGCATAGTTGGATAGAGGTTTTTAATTGTCAGTTAAATTGTCAAAATCTATTTTTAAATGATTTCAGCTTCATTACTTTCATTATTTCATGTAAATACAATAACTGCAAAATGGTAACACTATTCATGAATGTACTACTATTTATATGTTAGATATATTTTTGCTATAAATAGCATCATTGTGCACATTTGCTAACACTTTTTCTTGGTAATACGAGCCCAAAGTAAAGAAGAAAATTGAATAACTGCTATTGCTTTCTGAAACAGCATCATTTGTGTTCACACAATCAAAAACCCACAAACGGCATAAATGTTTTGTCCAAATCTAAATGTTGTCTAACAAAACACCTGAGAAAATGTCTAAAGACACAAAATGATATATTTCCTCCTAACTGTAAAAGGCTTAGATAAAAGTAGAGATTGAAGAACATAATCTCTAAACCTTTCCCACAAATGCTTAACAATTGTTGTTATTCTTCCTATATTTCTTCTGTGTGACTGTGTCTGCAGAGTAAAAAGAGATCAATGTTCACACTCATCTCACACAAAGCCGGCCAGAAAGGAAGCCACTCACAAATATTCCACAGGGAAATAATAGGAAAGAAAATAAGAGAAAGGGTAACAGAAAGTCAGCCAAAAGTTATTAAATCAAGTTTTTAACTAGTATCAATGAAGCAAAACAAAGAAAGGATAGAAATAAATAACACGGATAAGAAGAAATGCCAAGAGGCCAACAAACAGAGCACACTTGGATATAAATGAGATGAACCACTACATGCCTTTTCTGTCCATCTTTGACAAGACTCATGCTCTGTCTTTATCCTGGTTGACAGACTGATTTATTTATGTCTGAAGCTTCAACTTTCTCTTTAAATTGGATCAGTATTTATCTAAATTTAAGCTGTTGATCGAAAAAAAATAGCAGATTTTTAGGACACCTTCTGTTTTTGATGCCTGAAGGCTGCAAGTTAAAGTTTGTCCACAAGGTGGGGATCTCCATTCAGTGAAATCATATCGGAGTACAGATGGAAGTTGGTCCAGCACAAGAGCAAGTTCTGTACTAATGAACCAACCACCTTCATCACAGTGTGGTTACTAATTGAATGATTAGTTGCAGAAAAGACATCCGCTGTCAGTTCATGATCAAATCTTGGTGCAACAGGAGTGTTTTACTACGGAGGTTTTGCTGCAGATTTGGTTTAGTTGAAGCCTCACAGGTCAAACAGTGTTTAAAGTTTTGTGTGCCTTTGTGCATGTTTGTGTCTTCAGGTTCCGTCTTTGGGCAGTGGACAATACAGGACGCCGCTCCAGTTCCAGTGAGGTCACCATCAAAACCCCATGTCCAACTGTGGATGACGTCAAAGCACAGGGTGGGGGGCAGACACACACATTAAACTAACTGAACCATAGGTAGTTCATATAGATGATTAAGTGCCCAAAAAATAATGTTGAGGTTTGTTTTTCTGATGTAGTTCTCCTGAACTCGCTTAGAGGAGAGACGCTTGCTGTTTCTGTTGGGAGTTATGTTTCTCACAAAACAGATGCCACATGAGTTCATAGAGTGAGTCATAAAGTCACAGGCAGATAGTTTTTCTCTCCAGAGCAGAACTGTTTATGGTCTCTGAGGATATTTACTTAAAAAAAAATATCCATCATTCCATTTAAGAAATTAAAGAACTGGGGTATTTGTTTACCCTCTGGACCAATGAGAGCTTCATAGCAAATATTTTATTGTTAATCCGGCTGCTGATTTTAATCAGATATTGCAAAAATGTACTATTCAATAATGTACAATCTAGCTGGGCTTATGTGCTGGAAAAGAATAAATGGTGTAAACTGCAACACTTGCACTGGCTCTGGTTTGCACTAAGTTTCTTACTATCCAGCAGTGAGGATGAGCACCATGAAAAACACGTTTCCCAGTGCTGTAGAAAACAACTGATTCACAGACGATCAGATGTAGACTTCATCAAATTTATTGCAAAGCTTTGGAGAACAGCCAGACCTCCAGAGAGTCAATGCATCACAAGTACAGAACTTATTCATGCCTTGTCCTGTCAGGATACTGACCTGCTCTGACTTCCTGAAATGAAAAAGTTAGTTGTATAGAATCTCATCAGGGGGCTCTCCTCTCCTCCATGCACAGTCTCACAAGAAAGATAACATCCTCATGGTTCATATGGAGGGTGGGGGGATAAGCATCTCTAGCCAGCTGCTCCTGGTGCCATCATTCCACAAACAGTGATACTGGAGCATTATTAAAATCATTCACAATGACCTTAAAGAAATACATATTTACGTATTTGTTTTATTTATTTCATTTTATTTTTTTCTTCTTTCGGCCGCTCCCTTCTTTAGGGACTACCACAGCGAATTTAGTTGCACGAAGAAGTGGCAATTATTTTTACACTGGATGCCTTTTCTGACACAACCACAAACCACCGAGCTACCACAGCCCTCTGTGGAGCAGAGAGATGCTATCTAGAGCACCCAGGGGTGCAGATGATGGTGGTTAAGGGGCTTGCTCAAGGTCCCAGAGTGGAGCAAATGAGGGTGGAGACAGGTGTGGGTGCTTCACCAATCCCACCCACATTTTGATGTTGTTAGTACTGGGAGTTGAACCAGCAATTTTCTGATCACAGGCCCACCTTCGCTAACATCTGCGCCACCACTCTATCTATACGAATGTGTATAAAGGTTGTTAATATGATAAAATATCATATTTTATATGATGTTATTTTATCAACTCAACAAGCAAGATGAATCATGTCAAATTCAAAATATGATATCAGGAAGCAGATCAATAAGTCATAGTTAAAAGTCAAAGTTTCTTTATTTGTTGTTTTGTTTCATCACATGTGTACATGTGGTGGAACGAAATTGTGTATACAGGGTCCCAGTTACATTCAAAAAAAGTATAAAATGTAAAAGAAAAATGGTAATAAGATCTAAGATATGAACTAAGATAAACATTAAACTAAGAATACGCTAAGCACTAATAGTACAGAAACAATACACTGAACAACAGCAGCATGAACATGAGTCTGTGTGAGCAGATGAGTATGAATGAATACAGCAGCATGAAACAAATCAGCAGCATGAGATCAGCAGCATGGATAGTCAGCAGCACATATCAACAATCAAGTGGCGTTACAGCCTCAGGGTAGAAGCTGTTCCTCAGTCTAGTTGTTCTACACTTAATGCTCCTCAACCTCCTTCTTGAGGGGAGCAGGGCAAAAGGTGTGTGTGCTGGGTGGGTGGGGTCCTTCATGATGCAGGTGGCTCTCTTCCTGCGTCTGGAGGTGTAGATGTCTGTGATGGTGGGGAGACTGACTCCAACATCTTCTGTGCAGCCTTCACCACTCTCTGCAAAGCTTTTCTTTCTGCAGCTTGCAGCCTCCATGCCACACATTGATGCTGGAGCACAGGATGCTCTCCACTGCACACCTGTAGAAGGAGGTGAGGACTGAGCTTCCCAGACCAGCTCGTCTCAGCCGCCTGAAGAAGAAGAGTCTCTGATGAGTTTTCTTGATCAGGCTGGTGGTGTTGTTGCTCCAGCTGAGGTTGTCATTCATGTGTACACCCAAGTACTTGTAGCTGGAGACCACTTCCACCACAGATCCTCGGGGGGAGGAGGAGGTGTGTTTGTTCCGTCTGAAGTTCACGACCATCTCCTTCAGCTTATTCACATTGATGTGAAGGTTGTTCTTCCTGCACCAGCTCTCCAGGTGTTCTATGTTCAGTAATTAATATATTTCCATCACATCAGTTAAAAGACAAACTATATACCCCAATCTCTTTTTGGAGTCATTATTCGTTTTAAAAACGGAGAGTGTATTGGCACAGAGGTTAGAGAAGGTGGGCCTGGGATCGGAAGATAACTGATTCAACTCCCGGTACAGACAACATCAAAAAATGTGGGTGGGATAGGTGAAGCATCCACACCTCCCTCCACCCTCATTTGCCCCACTTTGGGTCCTTAACCGCCACCATCTGCTCCCCCGGATACCCCAGATAGCAGCTCTCTGCTCCACACAAAGGGCTGTGGTAGCTCGGTGGTCTGTGGTTGTGTCAGGAAGTGTAAATAATACCTCCACCTTTATCTTTATAAAGAATTAAGCTTAGAAACTCAGAGTTCCTGAGACTTTAGATGTTTGATGCGCATCATAGAAATTTCATTACAGTATGGTATTTCCAGGGTTAATGCATCATTTAAGACTTTTAAGACAAAGTTCAAACAATAAATTATTACTATACTGTATCATTTTAAAACAGAACCTATTACAAACATGAAACTATGAATATACTTGGTGCGACTTGGTATACTATGGTGTGACAGTAGGAAAAAGTTCACTCGTTATAATAAACTGTGGGAAAAAAGAGACTTGTCAGGTCAACAAATCTCACACTAAAGAAAAAATATTGAAAGTCCTGTCATAGTGTAGGTTTACTTTGCCCAAATACCTGAAAACTTGAACGCTTCATAGAGCCAAAACTAATCTGTTCTAATTGATTTGTGGTATAATATGTGGTAAAATCCTCAACTTTACAGTAGAACAAATTTACTGACTGCACCTCGTTGTTAGCCAGTAACTTTTAAAATTATTAAATTATGTAGTTTGACAGGTGAGCCTGCTTTACATTTCTTAAGCGCCATGACCCAGAGAACCCGTCCTCAAGGTCTCTGTCTAGATAATAAATGTTTTATAATATAAATAATATTTTGCGAGACACAGTGGGACCCTGGTTCCAATTTTAGGAAAACTCTTCTTGATTATTGGGGCAGCTGTGGATGAGTCGTTAGAGCAGTCGTCCTCCAATGCAAGAGTTGGGGGTTCGATTCCACCAGCAGTCACATGCCGAAGTGTCCCTGGGCAAGACACCGAACCTTTCATTGCCTCTGATGTGTGTCTCATCAGTGTATGAATGTGATCAAGCACTGATTATTCTTTGTATAGATCTAGTAGAGTGCTGTATGAATGGGTAAACGAAGACAGTTTGTAGTGTAAAGAGATTTGAGTATCTTGATAAGATAGAAAAGAGCTATATAAGTACAGCCCATTTACCATTTATTACAATCTCAAATTTGAACCATGGCTTTTGCTATTGCAGAAAATAGAAATAACAGGATTAGTGATTCACTTTATTGTGTCCAGCAGAAATTCTAAGCAGGGAAAAAGTAAACATTGCTATAATATATACCATGCTTACCGCCGTACACGTCGCACCACCATATAAGTTGCATCAGTCCAAATATGTCTAATAATTTGGGAAAAAGCATAAATAAGTCACTTTGCCGTATAAGTTGCATCTATAATGCGTTGCTGCTGAAGCGTTGCATTTGTTACACGTCACCACTGACAACCTAGAAACATGGGCAGGTGTTGTGCCAAAAATCGATTGTCAGCCAAATGGCGGCTGAGGGAGTGTGCACGGGAGGACTTTAACAAGAATTTTAAAAATTAACACCTAAGAACAGTTGTTTGTTTTCTTGGCATTATAGCAAAGGTGTGTCTCAGTTTAACTTTTCCTAAGTAAATGCACTTTAATGGTCAAATCAGCTGCATTTCTCCTGGGCGGCGTGACGAAATGCAGCTGATTTGATGTTTGCTCCAGGAGTTCCGGAGCGAGATGAAGGTGGCTGCTGTGGCAAGCCAAGTGTCTCATTAATAGCCACTTTTACCTATTAATGAGACACTTGGCTTGCCATATTGGTTGAGGGCCCTCTAGCGGCTGAAAATGGTAGTGTTCAATATGTTCCATGTCTGAATGAATGAAATTGTCAGATCTCAGCCAAAAATGGGGATATAAATATGAGGGAAAAAACATAAATATGTCACTTTGCTGTATAAGTCACAGGACTTGCAAATTTATGCAAAAAGGTACGACTTAAATGGCAAAAAAAAATGGTAATGTAAATCTCATTTTATGCTCCATTTGTATTTGGAATATTTACAAGTAAAAAAAAGAACTGTGAAGCCCCTTGAAAGTCAAAGTTCTGACTCAGAAAGTCATAGGTCCCTGCCCAACCATGACCACAAAATCTAATATGGCTTCCTTGTGCATTATCAGTGATGATAGCTGCAGAAATGCACTTTTTTATTTCCTGTTCTGTCAATTCAAATCCTAATAAATTAGTCACACACATCAAATTTTACTATTTCTTTCAAGAAGCATGTTGCTACAAGCTTAAGACAAAGATTATTACTGTAGTATGTTGGTTGTGACCTCAATCCCAGAATTGAGTTCTGACTTTCAAAGCAAAGGAAGTGCAGCTAAATGAGTTGGTTTAGCTGATGGGGTTGCTAAACCTCAAACCTAGTGTGAATGAGCAATCACACATCAAAGAAAGATTATATTTTCTTCCTTTCTCCTTACTAGCTTACATCTGGCTTTACTAATAAAGCTAAAGTGTTTTCCACACATTGTTTCGACTGGTGCTGATGTAATGCAACATCAGTTATATAAGAACTCTTATTGACTTTAGATTGTATGTGTTTTTTCAGAAATTGCAGATAAGATTTATAATCTGTTCAATGGCTACACAAGTGGGAAAGAGCAGCAGACGGCCTACAACACTTTGATGGATCTGGGTGCTCCCACGCTACACCGTGTGCTTTATCACTATAACCAGCGTTACGAGAGCTTCGGAGAATTCACCTGGAGGTGTGAGGATGAGCTGGGGCCCAGGTAGAATTTATATTTATTTTTTGTCACATTTTTTTTCCTTAATATTTTGACAAAATGTGTTAATGTTAAAGGCAAACCCCAAGTATTAGAATTCCTAATTGACTGGTCACCTACCTGCAAGGTACCTCTTGTTTTGGTGATGAACTGAGCTGATGTCATTGACAGAATTGCTTCTTTATGAGTTATCATCAATAAGTTTTTCAGTGGCAGATAAGTCTGATTCATGAACGACATTTTTATTGACATTCTGGACAAACAAAGTCAGTGTATAAACATCTGGAGTTCAGCATTATGTGCAGCTTAAGCATCACTGAAGGAGGTCTATGGGCTGATATTTTACATTTGTAATGCTTTTGGTCCACATAGTGCACCACTCAAGAGACCTGAAAGCATTGGTCTCCAGTCTCCAATGAGATATCACAGTTCTTAAGATTGGACCTTTGTATATTTATTGTTGTCTACGTTGATGCTCTGTGAGATTTCTGTAGAGTGAAACCTTTGCGGTTCAAGGTTCATCCATTCTGACAAGGTCCCCTGTGAGGGTAGGAACGTAGACTGACCGGTAAATGGAAAGCTTTGTCTAACAGCTCAACTCTCTCTTCACCACAACGTACTGGTACAGAGTCCGCAATACTGCAGATGCTGCACCAATCCATCTGTCAATCTCACGCTCCATTCTTCCCTCATTTGTGAACAAAACTCTGAGATACTTGAACTCCTCCACTTGAGGCAGAACCTCACCCTCAATCTAAAGAGTGCAATCCACCATTTTCTGACTGAGGACCATGGCCTCAGATTTGGAGGTGCTGACTCTCATCCCAGCCACTTCATAGACATAAAAGTCTACTTCATGAAAGATCAACTTTGCTGGTCACAAATCTGGGTAGTGACCGAAAGAATGACATTGTGGATACAGGTGGTTGAAATAAGTTTCCTCTGCAGGGTAGCTGGACTTTCCTTTAGAGATAGGATGAGAAGTTCAGTTATCTGGGAGGGACTCAGAGTAGAACCGCTGCTCCTCCACGTCGAGAGGAGCCAGTTGAGGTGGTTTGGGCATCTGGTAAGGATGCTTCCTGGGCGCCTCCTTAGGGAGGTGCTTCAGGCATGTCTGACTAGGAGGAGACCCTGGAGAAGATCCAGGACATGCTGGTGAGACTATGTCTCTCAGTTGTCCTGAGAACGCCTTGGAATCCTCCCAGAAGAGCTGGAAGAGGAGGCTGTAGAAAGAGATGTCTGGGCCTCCCAGCTCAAGCTGCTGCCCCTCGCGACCCGACTTTGGAACAAGCAGAAGATAATGGATGAATGAATGGATAGCCCTTTATGTCATCCCTCCTACAGCCCTTTAGAACTACAGAGTTGAGTATCCATGAGATGAAAATACACCTTAAAAGGAATTGTCGTTTTTCATTTTCAGGGTTTTGATTCTGTGTAGATAAACAAGGACAAAGATGCAAACTTTAACTGTCAAACAAACAAAAAAACGCTCAATTTGTGATACAGTAATGTCAATTTTCTGAAGTGTAACTTCAGATCAGTGCATTCCTTCCAGCAAATTGATCATCAACTTCAGCTAAATTATCAGTACAACTAAACAATATACCAAGCCTTGGAGGTCAGTCCTAAATCAGGTTTTTAAAGAATACCAAATGACTCAGGAAAACTAATAATGCATGGACTGAATAACCATAATCAGTCTTTGAAATTATAGAAATATGTTTTCTATTTATGAGTTGCCCTCCCACCAACAAAGTGCAATCTGTCACTCTGAACTCGAGCATCTGACGCTGACATGCTGAATCAATAACAGTGCCGTCTGGCTGCGAAATTGAAAAAACATGGCAAATAGACAAAAGTCTGGGTTGGATCACAGTTTGGTGTGAGCACCACTTTAAAGTGAAGTTTTCGCACACAGATCTGGTGAAAGCCACCAACAGTTCAGTTCAGAATTCAGTAAAACCCCTGACGCTGATTTAGGTGGTTGGAGTGTCTAAAAATTGAACAGATGACAGATTTAGATTTGTTTCCTCCAAATCTTTCATCTGTCATCAATCTTTGTTTAGATATGCTCCATTAGGGATTACTGTACCCTCCACAGCTCAAACTTTTCTCGTCATGACAGTGATTTATTGACCTAGCTCTCATTCCAATGAAAACACGGGAAAACGAAATAAAAACCCTGCTTCTGGAGAAGGTTAGCACAAGGATTCTTGTTCACTCAGTAAAGTTATTTGTAGCATCCAAAACGTGGTGTTTGACAAAGGTTCATCTGTTCAATCTTGTTGTTTATCGACTTTAGATGCATTACAGTTAATGCACTGCCACCTGACAGAAGACTTGTCAATCAAAGACTTGAACTCTTGCTCTGTATTCAAAACTAAGCTGGATTCGCTGACTCTTGGATGTTGCAGAGGAAAAAATGTGCCATCATTTTTTTACATCCTCATGTTTTTCCATACTGATAAGCATTTTTTTAATTTATTTCATGAACAAGTTGTATAAAAACGTTATTCAAGCTTTAATTGGTTTTGTAAGAAGTACCCCTGTATGGTACAGATGACCCATGATAGTTTAAAGAATTGTGATTCCTTTCCCTACCTTAGTTTCTTTAAGATCTAAACAGAGCAGATAAGTAGAATCAGCCTAATCCAGTAAGACAGAAATGACTATATAATTTCTGAGGACAATGATCTAGTTTTATATATCTGTGAAAGTATGGGGTATTTGAACTTTTAGGACTTGCCGTTAGTTTCAAGGTGAAGTTGAATTTATGTATTTTCAATCACTGGGATCTGGTGTGAGGAGTGTCCCTTTTTAATTTAAGAAGAAGGATGGATAAAGATTATTTGTTCATAGCATGTTTTGTGGGAATATCTAATAAAAAGTTCTCGATGCTCATCACATTAGAAAAGATCATGAAAAGAGTTTGATCACCTCGTCTCAGACAGATTAGGTACAAATAAAGGTGGATCATTCTTTCTGAAGTGATGAGCACACAGAAATCACTGCAGGACTAAGATATACTGTATAGTGTGCAAGGTACCAAAGGAACCCAGGGTAACTTCCTTAAAAAAATAATAATTAAAAAAGAGAGAAAAACCATTAACTGTAACTGCTGAGCATACAATCAGAAGATCCTTCAACAACAAGAGTACACTGGTTAAACGAATACATATAACTTTTTATTGTTACATTAAATAATAAAAACCAAAGAATTCTTGTTTGTTTCTGAAATTATGTATTTTCTTAAATGAAACAAGTTATTTGTGGAAAAAAAATAAATAGTGAAAATATACATTTGAAAACTTTGTGGAAAAATACAGAAAATTGTTGGTTTGATCACCTTAAGTACATTATTCAATCTCTGGAGTGTTTTGTGCAAATATTATGACCTAATAATATCTTACTGATGTGAATAAATATTTGAATGAGCTCAGTTTGAAAAATCTGTTCAGTTTTTTCTGGTCTTTTATTTGGAGCAGACTAACAAGCTAACAGCTAGTCATAGATCAGAATGGATGGTTGCCATCTTAAAATAATAATAATAATGTGTTATGTATTGTCATCATTGTATGTTCCCACACAATGGCAAAATAGGCTCGCTGCTTTTAACCCATCCACCACCAGGTGGAGCAGTGGGCAGCTATTGAAGTGCCTGTGGAGCATTTGGGGATAGGGTGTGCTGCTCAGAGACAGTGAGACACCACTAGATGTGCAATGACTGGAGAATGAACCCGGGACTTTTGGGTCCCGAGTCGGCTGCCCTGCCTCTACACCCTCTCGACAAAACATAAGGCACCTGTCTCAACATTCTTTAGAGGTTTATGAGAACACTGTACCCTATACTGACATTTTCACATTACTTGATGATTTTTGAAGAAAATTTACAGTATGTGAGCTGGGCTGCACTGGAAGTGCTACAGATAGCTTCTATGTAAAAATAGTGTAATGTGAAATTGACAGTGGTGTAAAAGTTTTTAAAAAAAAACAGCATTTCCATAAATCACTATGAAAGTTTTGAGATTTCAGCAAATGTTTTAAAATGGCAGCAAGCCAGTTTAGTATAATCCCCATTTAGACTAGCCGTTAGCTTGTCAATTCAGATGGAGAGCACTATTTCTCCAAAATGAGGTTATCCGAAGAGCAATTTACAACTTGATGTTTATTGTTCATACTCTTTTCACAGAACCCCATTGGACATGATCCAAACTATTGCTTTAAGCATAAGGTGTAATGGCATGGGATTTGGCACGGTGGGGTTTTTGAGTTAATTGTAGCTTTGCATGATGAACAGACAGTGGTATGCTGGAAAGTCAAGCTCTCTGATTCTTCTATATTCTCAGATGCCAACAGATTGCACAGATTGTGTGTGTGTGTGCTTGTTTAGTTTTCTTTTATTATGGCATGGTGTCTTTACTCACCGAGACTTGAAGCGGTGATATGATGCCAAATATCAACTTTCATGTTGTTTTTGTGTACAAATCACACAAAATCAGACTTTTCATGTGAAAAATGAGACCTAAACAAAATCAAAACAAAGGTAATCCTATCTATCCAAAGCATTTCCTTTGCACATTTTTCAAAGCAAGCCATAATTTGTTCCAGCCTTTTTTACAAACATACCCTGCGACACTCAGACCTCTATGACATCAGCTCGTCCAAAGCTTAGCCGTGTCTGACTCTTGTTTTCATTCTCCACGGTGCACAGATGTTCAGCTTGCAGCTTCCAAAGTGCTGTCTTTGATTGTTGTTCGTGTGAGTTGAAGTTAAGAAAGGAAGTTCGTTCAAACTGGCTCGAGAGCAGATTGAGTTAAACCTCTGTGACATCACTGTTTAGCAAAGCAACTTGTGACCAGAAGAGAACCCACCACCCCCCACCCCCAACAAACAACAAATAATCACTTTAATGTAAAACTGTTGCATGATTTTTCATAAACAGAGCCATGTGTCTGATGTAAAATATCCTAATAGACTGCAGTCTGTGGTGTGTATGTTCACTCTGG